AATCAATAGCAGTGAGATACTGTAATCACAGCTCTCCAGTCCTGAGCTAGCCTTTAACCTTAACACCATAGTGCATTTGCTCAAAATAGCCTTATTTCTGTGTTGGCTTCAAGTTAAACATTTGTTACAAACAAAACAGTCATCCTTTCCAAACCCACATTTTGCGTATCACATGCTTCTCTAACTCAACAGAGCTTTCCAAGAGGAAGTAAACAAAACAACAGTACTATTTAGAATTGACCATCTGTTTTAACACAAAACCCAATAGTTCATTTCCTTTCCACTACACTGGGAAAAGGTCCTAGTTTGCCTTCAAATATGCTCAAAGACTTTTTCCCATCACACTAGAAGCAGGCAGGGACTAAATTCATAATAATATCAATAGAGTCTCTGTAAGTCTCTAAAAGCAGATGCAAAGGAAACGATTTCACCGAATTTCATCAGAAGTTTGCACAGTTAACATGGTTAAATCTAAATCATGAATGTTTATAAATTCCATTTCAGCACAGATCTATGAAATTAATCTCCATCCCAATCTCACCATTAGTATTCCACTCAAACCATCAACTTCTTGTGTGTCATTTCAGGAGGTTCAAAGTATGTCTAAACATCAGTAAGCACCAACACCACCCTGAACTGACAGTGACCAGGGCCAGATACGAACACCACACACATTGTGCTGAGCACAAAACTTCATTCCAGGCAAGACCAAACCATATTCCTCTGGTTTTTATCTCTGCATTCAGTGGGCCTAACTATGAATTATGCAGGGTGAAGAGCTGGCTGAACATTTGAAAATGTTAAGCAAAGAAAGCCCATGCCTGCCTTAGTTTAGAGAAATAAAGCCAGGCTGTAAATCTAAGCGTACACCAGATTACAGTGATTATTTTTGAGAAGTAGTGTTGAATTTATTAGGACAGTGATAAAGCAAATTATAAGATGCTAATGCTTTTACATTTACAGGTTGCTAATCCCAAACAAACAAAAAAATAATACATTTGAGCAAATTAATTTATGAGTAATTGACATTACGTTCCTACCTAAATTGTTCCAAAGTAGCTCTATTTGCCCAGCTGCTCACCACAACCAGTGGCTGTTAATGGCAGATCCTTCTTATTCTCTTGGGAAGAAAAACTTCTGATTTTTCAGGAATGTAGCTACACCAAACACAGATATTTTGATCCCTAAAGTTTCCACTGAGCAACAGTCTGAGCATTATTATGCAGAAAACAATTACACAAAATTGCACATAAAATAATTTTTTTAAGTTGTCCAAAGTACAGATTAATGTTTCAGTGAGAATTCATTCAACTGGGAGCAAGTTATACTCATAAACTTTTTTTTTTTTTTTTTAATGGAAGATTACACCACAATTTCCTGGATGTTTTTCCCATGGATAAACAAGGGCCTCTGAGATCCCAGAAAATTGTTCAATATTACTCCCAAAGTATGAGGATCAGTGAAATGTCTATGTGCCTCAGTCTGCCAGAAGAGAACATGGCTAAGGATAGTTGGATTTTGGCTTTATTCTGCAGTTGGGGTTTTTCTGCTGCTGAGAATGTCCGCCTACTAAAAACTGAACTGAGGTCATCCAGTATGTTATCATCAAGTTGGAAACTTGTCAAGTTGACATATGTTTTTTGAGGGCCTTCAAAGAGAGGGCAACTTGTGCAAGTAGCAGGAATCCAAAGAAAACAGGTTGCTAAACTGTCTTTAAAACACTGGTCTAATCACTAAACGCACAAGAAACCAGTATTTTTAAAATAATGAGAGTAGCTTACACAGTGGACTAAACATGAGTTAAAGGGAGTTTCTTCTCTTTTATTTCTGGAAAATAGATATTTGCTATTCATCAGCCCAAGCTTTTCCAGGAGTTTTCACAAACAGTACTAAACATGCTCATATTAGAACTGGAATAGATGCTACTAGTTGAAAACAGAATCTTGTTTCTTGTAGCCAAATATTTTGTAAAAACAATGAGAATGAGTCAACTCATTTGTCTTCATGTATGCACAGACATGCATGCATAAAAAACCCTGATATATTTCAATAGAAAACTACACATATTTCCATAGTAAAACCTGGGAAAAAATTGCATTTCAATAAATTACAAAAAGTTTTCTAAGAAAAAAATTATTCAAATGAGCATTTATTAATTTTTTGTTTAATTCTGTTATTACCATTAACTGCATGAACCAAGAAAGTTCATGCGTAGTTGTATTGTGTAATATGAATGTCCAAGTCACATGCCAGCTAAGTTAAAATGCATCATGCACTGTCTCAATGAACTATGCTAAAGGGCTTAAGAAAAGCTGTTTCAGAAAGGAACAAAGGAAAAAAACAGCTTAGTAAAATCAATTTTTCTGGGTAGTTTGTTTCATGTTTTTCTCCTTTTTTTAAGGAGGAACAACACTGAACATCACAAATTATTTCAGAAAGCAACTGGCTAACCATTACTCATCCATTCTGTAAGTGACATGAGAACACCAAAATATAGGGACAGAAGAAGCTAAATAAAGTCACCCTACCATTCTGCATTTTAATGTGAAGGACACCATCAAAGATATTTCTCTCATTCCATTCAGAACAGCTGCTCTCTCTACGGGTCTTTGTATTTGTTGTAGGACAGAACATTTTCTCCATGGAGACAGTGGAATAGGAGTAAATATATTCTTCACATCACTTAAGAGTTTTATTTTACTAATGCAGTTAACTATACAGAGCAACAAATACAGGAGGGCAAGTTAGCCCTGAGCTGCTTTGCATTCTGTATTGTGCTGATATGACACTGCAAAAACAACTATGGAATAAAAGCAACATTAAAAAGACAAAAGATACATTTATCCCTGGAACTGATCTTTAAGTCTAAAGAACCATGATAAGAGCAAACTGATTTTAAAAAGTACAGATGTCAGGTAGTAAACAGAACAACAAGCTCCTCTTCAAGAATGCAAGGAAGTTTCTTGTCAAAATGAACACAAAAACATTGTGTTTATTTTTGCAATATTCTAGATATCTTTGCCCCAATTAAAAAATAAAAAAGATAAATATATAGGCTAATATTTAATTTTGAGCACAACTAATCCTACAGACCTCAGTAATCATTCAATTAAATGTTTAGACACCATTTGTTTAAATGCTTTTTTACAAGGTATCCCTAAGTGTACACATATGAAATATCCCCAACTGGAGATATAATCCAAGCTTTGCATTAATGAGACCTATACTAGGTTCTGCCAACACAAAACTAGTTGATACACATGCTATGGAGGCAAAGCTAAAAATCCAAAACTAAAGGGAACCAGGAAAGAGATCTGTAAAACACACCAAGGGGAAACTGAAAAACCAATGACTAATGACCAAAATACTCAAAAAGAACCAAAGGTGAAGGTCAAGTGAGAATGACTAATTCCAGGATCTAAAGCAGTATAGCACACTGTATGTTTATATTGTACCTTTTTAATCAATACTATGAGGTCCTTTAAAAAAAGAAAATTTTAATCAAAAGTGCCATCAGTAGAGATGAGCTTGGCAAATGCAGAGATAAATACTACTAATTGCTAGGCATCTTGTCCATCTATACACAAAAACAATACTGTAATAGTGACTGCCTGCTTCAGTTGCAGTCAGAGTTTTTCAACTATTAGTCACGCACATAAAAACACCCACAGAGTTTCACTGTAAGGAATTACCCCATTTGAAGGCAGCAAGGCAAGGTAACAGCCAAAGAATAAGGTCTTGAAGTCACCAGAATTCAAATTTCTTCTGAAGGGAGGAGTACGTGAGGAGCTAAGAAGTGCATGATTTAAATAACTGTGTGTATACATACATACATATATACATAATTTTAGTAACAACTTGCACCAGCCTCCTTGAGGCCTGTAAGCAAAAGCTAAACTAATCATGCAGCTGAGCACTTCAAGTGAGATAGCCAACTAGAGGTTTTAATTAGCTTTTCATGAAATCTTAGCTGGGCACTATTTTTATGGAAGAAATTCCTGAAAACTCGGCACTGTTACTCTATACGGCTTGAGTAATCCCAACATTTCAGACAGCGAGGAGTCTCCATATGCCAAGACTCCTCACATAATTCTTCTTTATAAAGTCCTGGTTGAAATAACCATGTAAATTAAATTTTGTCACAAGAAATAACTGCAGGCAAAGTATCTATTTCTGAAAAATTAGCTTAAGAGTCATCATTTGGCCAGTTTTCAAGGAGCCTTCAGAGTGCCTGTTGCTTCCAACAGCGACAATTAAGGATTGTCGCTTCACTGTCTGTGAAGGAGCATGGTCCTAAAACACATTTCCAGACTGAAGTCTGTATCAGGCTCAGATTCTCTCAAGAGCTTCAGCAAACACATCTCTTTCCAGAGAAAAGTGGCATATTTATATATGACTTCACAGTTTGCCACAGTGTTTCCTACCTACCTTTTCTGAACATGTAACTCAAAGATACAAATATCTATAACCTCAAACAAACAGCCAATAAACAAAAGTCTATTAGCTGACTGTGACCTAAATCTCCACTTAAAAAAAAGAATAAAAGCAGTCAAAACCCAGCAGTGTGTAATACTGTCTCAAGTTCTGTGTAACTAGCAGTTCTGCCAAAAACAATTTTTGAAAAACAATCCAACACTCCACAGTTTAGAACCAGAAATTTTTTGGACATATTCAACTGGTAACACAAAGCTAAAAGGTCGATTTAGAGAATTTTTTTTTTTAATTGCATTATTGTTCCACTGTATGAAGGTTTTTTGTTCTTGCAGCCTTCTTTTCCTATTTGAACTGTTAAATAATGAAAAAGGATGGGAAACCCATTGTTTCAGTTTAAAAAAAAAATAAGACAGTAACCAGTTACTCACATCTGTCAAGCAAACTACATAAAAAACCCTCCAAAACCTCTGTATTGACTCCTACTTTGGGACACATGCAGGAAACACAGAACACTGATATCCCAGTGCAGTTGGCACTGAGCTGCCTTCGTAGCCATCTGTACTTACACGGTCTTTGTCATCGGCTACATCACAGAGAATGTCATCGAGATCTAAGATCCCACCATCCCCGTGCTCCAGTCGATGTACTTGTATCCAGTAGTTTGGATCCTGCACAAAAGGAGAAGAAAATAGTATCAGACATCACATGCCAACAGAAAAATGTTACTCAACCACAAAGTTAGCATCGCATCCTACAAATGCTTGACACCAAACATCTATTTAGGTCATATTTCTGTAGATAAACTGGCATGTAAAACCAAAATTCTTTTTTTAAATTGTCTCAGATTAGATACGGAGTCTTCCCACTTTCATCAGTTCTGTATGAGTCACAATCCTATCACTGACACACAAGGGAACAGCATTCCCGATGTTACTGAACATATGAACTATATAAAAGGAAAATACATTGTCCTCAAAATAAACTATCTCAGACAGTGGTCAAAAGGCACACATTATTACAGGACAGCTGTGAAGGCTGTGGGTTATTTACAGAACAGTTATAAAGGGTGCAAACCAATATGTAAATGCCATCAAAGGGCTTTCTACCTGTCCTTCGGTAGAGTCAGTAGATGGAGTATATAAATCTTATACTAAGAGCACTTTCTACATTTTAAATAAAAAAAGCTACATAGACACACACATAGAATGCATAAATACAGACGCACATAAATGTGTGTGTGTGTGGTTTTGTGCTTATACATGCATCTACCAGTAACTGGGAAGACCGGCTTTATAGTCTTTATTATTACTTTTGATACCAAAGGAAACCATAAGGAATAGGGTTGTGTCCACAAAGTGTCTCCTGCCCATCGCTACATGACCCGAGGGCTGTTTAGTGCTCAACATGCTACTCCTTAAAGGATTTGTTTTCTAACGGGGGAAACTCAACCTGAACATGATACATAATTTTTCTTGCATCTCAAACACGCCCCCAGACAACATCCTGGGGCTGTTATTCAGTATCTCACATTAATGGAGCTGCCTCGCGTTTCACTGAGAAGGTGTGACTGCACGAGGTGACTAATGTGAGGACCTTCAAACTTGCAACATGTCGCAAGTTCTTGACGTCCTAAAAATAGCAATTAGCATCAGTTTTTTCAAATATCAGTGTCTAGAAGTGGGAAAAAAAAAATCTACTACACCAAAAAGAAAAGTTATAAATAACTAAATAACTAAATAACTAAATAAATAGCTTCCACCCTAAAAAGCCTTGAAAATGTTTTGATTTCTTAACAACAGAACAGGAGAAGAAATGGGACCACCAGAATTCCTCTAAATCCGTATATGTACTTAAATCTTGACAGAACATACTGAATAAAACAATATAAAGGGATATTCATTTTGGCTTTAATATCCCAGAACTCTATTTATTTGCACATGATATATATGCATGGGTCAAATATTTTGGAGAACTTTGATAACTATGAAACTTGCTTCATTGTATAAGTACATCCACCTTAAATGCTGCTGTAAGATGATCATCAGATGATGATCAGATTTCAGAATTACATTATAGAGTCATTAGACTAGTCATTTCAGAAATTAAATTACAGACTTTTTCTCTAATTTGTCTAAGTATTAAATATCATTACCTTCCATTTCTTCTAAGCAAGTATTTATTATACAATTAACTGGATTTCTAGTACCTGGCTTTTCCCTAAGCAGCACTTACTGTTGTAGCACATTACAGGAGATAATCCAGCATCTATTTTTTAAAAGTAAAAATTCAGGAATAATTAAAAATAGTATTACATAATTTACATTATCATGCATACAGAGGTGCATACATAGCTACATGATAGAGAAGCCCGCTCTGTAAAAAAGGTATGTAATGCAAATACCAGGATGAACTTTTTTATAAGTTTGAATACTCGACTAACACAGAAAGGGCTGGGAAAAGCCACCTGTGTACACCAGAAATCCTTCAACATTCCTTAAGAAACATGTTCTAAAGGAAAGTCAGTCAAAGAGGTGCCTTTGCAAAGTCTGCTCTCAAGTTAAAAGGGAAGAGGATCCCTCCTCACCCTCTAGCCCATTACAGAAATCTCCTCTGTCTCTCAAATCTACACCAAAGACTGATGCACATTTGGAAAGACCCAGACTTTGAAGACACAACTAAATAGACAAACTATGAAGCATCTTGCACTCCTAAAGGACTTGACTCGGTTTCCTCTGCTAATTTCTCCCTCTCAGAGTCAAGCCAGAATTGAACCATAAGCCAGCCTTCACTGCAAAAACAGAGATGGAAAACCTAGTTTGGGCTTTAAGAGTGTCTGCTCCCTGAAACATCACCCACTTCACCATTTTTGCTTGCAACACTTAATCTTCTTACTGAAGAATGGAAACATGAAAAACAAATAACTGCAATACCAGCTCAGTGACATGACTACTACATCCATCAAAACAAACAGCACCCAAACTGAAACTACAGCTTCAATATTCCTGTATCCTTATTTTTTCCTTCCTACCACAACTATTTCCTACCTCCAAGGCAAATGTAAAAAAACATTCGTGATTACAGAATCAATAGTAGGAACACCCACTTCTAAATCACTATTGTGCTATTCCAGCATGCACAATCTACTTAAAAATAGCTTTGAAATATAAGCTGCATCACTTCTGCTAATTACTTCCTTTAAAAGTTTCTCAATATTGCATAAGAAGGTTTAGATAGACTTCATTTTTCCTGCATCACCTACTAGTAGTGCCATAGCCTGAACTGCTCTGGTCGCTTTTCCTGTCAGACAAGGTCCTGATACAAAACAATACATGAGCAAGACCAGACAAGAAATACATAAAACTAGTTTGTCAAGAATTTGCTCTGGCGGGATTTGGTAAGTAAATATGAAATAACAATGCAACTTTTCATTAAAGCCTTCGCCAAACATCAGAGCAGCCCTTCTCTCAAGCCCTCCTCTTTTACTCTATTAAAGGTTTTGCATAAACCAAGGATTTGGTGGGGGAGGCTTGGGAGGGAAGAGAGGTCCAGGAGAGAAGGGAGTACTTATACAGAGACTAGTTATACCATAGAGGGGTGCGGGGGAAGAAAACAACAACACTGAAGCCACTGATTCCACTGAGTTATGAAAATCCACAGCTATTTATGGTTCCAAATTTTAGCAATTATTTCTATATATTAACCAACCAAACAACATGGAAGAAAACAAACTGCATAAATGTTCACATTTAAGTTCCTATTCCGTGATTCGTCTAAAATGAACATAATGTTGTGTAAGAGTCAACTCACATGCACTGTTTGCTAAATACAAAAGAAAATGAACCAGACTTGACACTGATTTGAATTCAAGTACTACTACATCGATGTTACAAACCTATCTGTATTCACAGCTTGGCCACGTTGTATTTCGTGATCTCAGCTAGTAAACAAATATTCACAATTCCCTATGCAATGGCAGTAATAAAGTCTTCAAACATTTTCTGAAGCAGTCAGATACACTGTTTTGGCTTAGACCAGTTCTTAAAGAGTCATGAAGTGGAAACTGGCTGTTTCCTGAGTTTACTGGACTTGACACAACTTTATCTGTGGGATAAAGTGGTCCAATCACTCCTTCAGGACACCTGAACCCTTTTGGGGTCACTCTCTCTGGGTGGCAGCGCAGGGCTATCAAGTGAGATTTCGCTCACAAATGAGGGACTGACACCAACACTTGCCCACAGAGAGGTGACATTCTCAGGGCATGTGCAACAGGGTGTTTTCACAAGCAAAGTAGAAAATGTCATCTAATTATTAAACAGGAAAAAATGCAAAGTATATTGTCTATTAAAGGAGGTTTCTGTAAAGATGAAAAAAATACAAAACAAAATTTTAAAAAATCACTCAAACTTTCCAAGAAACCCGATTCAGAATTGTTCTGGTAAAAGAAAACATCCCAGAGTCAGATACGTTGCTGTTGTTTCAAAATTTGAATTTGTATATTAGAATCAGATTTTCACATTTTGTCAATAAGACAAAGCCACATTTATATTCTCTCACTGTTATGACTGTATAAAAGGGTACCGCACTCTCCAAATCTGCAATGCATTTAGACATAAAAACAGGCGTTGATAGAAAACTTATTAACTACACTGCTCCACCAGTGTTTGAGTTAGCAGTGTGCAATTACTTTGAAAAAGCTGTATAGATGCCTTCGTCACTAGTTCATGCAGAAGAACCAGCAAGTTCACTTCATTGAATACAAGGACAGAAGTAACGCTAAACCTGATTTATAATATCTTCATTTAAATATTGCATCACTTAGCTCAAGTCTAAGCAAGTTAGATCTCCTGCTTCCTGTCTACACCCATTTAACTATTCTACTTGACTATGATTACAAAGGTACTCATAATTTAAATCATGAGCACCACATTTTCTGCTCCAAAGTCCTCAGTAATGGGAGATAAATATTTGCTAAGTGAACACCAGCACTGAGAGTGGAAGCAAGAGCACATTACAAAAGCAGCAAGAATGTAGCCATTCATATTCTGTTTATTCCATAAAATAGGACTTCTAAAAAACACAAAGGAAAAACCGAGAAAACGATTAGTTTAAGTAGTATCATTCACTGTTCTGCAGCTAACAATTTTATGTTCCCACATAATGGAAACAAGGACCATATGTGGAAAACAATATCTAGAAAACAGAATGGAAACTGCAATGTCTTCTTATTAATTGCATAGGAAGATTTCTTACTACTTCACATCTAAATAGGTGTCTCGGCTTTTGCAAATGTACCTCTTCCAAAAATTTATTGAAATATTTAACATAAAAAGCGTCAATATATAAGATCATTCTTTAAATACTTTGTCCCTATCATACAAGAGGACAGCACCAAAACTTCTCAGCAGCAGCCATCTGTTTAACAGAGAGCAGAAAATCAGGCTCGTAAAAGCCTGCTGTACAATGCTTGGTGTTTACAAATTATGCCCACTACTGTGATTTAATCTCATCTGCCACCAGGAGGATGTCCTGAAGCATCAGAAAAAACAACTGGAGGTGGGATGGCAGACAAGGGGGTGTGCCTGTTTAATTTCTTGTGTTTGGTTTTAAGCCCATGCAGAGAGCACTACTGGGGGAGGACACCAAGCTCTCCCCAAGAGGTCTTTGTACT